GCAGGCCTAACTTTTGCTAACATATTTCAACGACTTTGTTGGTTAATAAATTAGTAAATAATTTTTCTTAAAAAAAGAATTGAAATTAGCATAGGAAGTACTTTAAAGAGCCTGAAAAATTTTGTTTTTAAAAGTCTGTAACATTTCCCATTGCTATGGATTAATCGCTATGGGACTGATTATTATGGGATTAACAGATCTTGCTATGCTATTAATTGGCTCAACAACATTTTATTGACTAGGTGGTGAGACAATAAATTTGAAACTTATTTTCTTTATTTCCTAAAAACCATGGATTCCTAACTGGTGAGATTTTGAAGTAAACAGATTTCACTGTTTGTAATTAATAACTCTTGCTCAAATAACCTAAGTCCAGAGAAGACTGAGAAGTAATCTGACCCACGAAAACTTCTTTGTTGGTCAGTAATCTGACCAACAGCACAACTTCTAAGGATGGTGTCTGTCTATCTGATTTAAGAAATTGTAAAGCATCAGAGGGTTCTAATGTGAAAATCTTTTGGTAATTGTTAAAATCCAGGGTTTCTAAGAAGTATCTGTGGAGAGCAAGAGGGCCCACATTATCCAAGCAGCCATTATGGACGTAAGGATAGTTCAGTCAATGACAGAGACACAAGAGCTTCCAATTGTAGGTGGTAACTCTGGAGGCCTCCAGGTAGTATGAAGGATGTGGCTGCTCTGATAAGGACCCACAAACATAGTATGGCCCTTTTGATCATGAAGAAAGGGCAATTATAAGAACACTAGACAGCTGTAGCCCAGAGACTAGTTATCAGTAAAGATTTCTCTTGTTCCAAGAACAATGAGTATGCCCAATTCTAAATATATTGAATCGAAAAAGTAGGGCTTAATTAAACTCATTTTTATTGAATTAGAGGCCATCATCTGGAGAAATGTTCAGACCTTAAGCAGTAGTGTTCACTGGGAAGTGTTTTATTGAAGTCCACCTTGAATTTGAAGTACCTGCACAAAAGGAGAAAGTTGTTGATAATGTTTTAGTTTTTTCGAGACCTTTCACCCAGGATGGAGTAGAGTGGCATGAACATAGCTCACTGCAGCCTTGATCTTCTGGGCTCCAGGATTCTCCTGCCTCAGCCCCACAAGTAGCTGGGACTACAGGTGTGTGCCACCACACCCAGCTGTTTTTCATAGAGACAGGGTCTCACCATGTTGCCCAGGCTGGTCTCCAACTCCTGAGCTCAGACAATCCACCTGCTTTTGTCTCCCAAAGTGCTAGAATTACAAGTGTGAGCCACTGCACCCAGCCTGTTGACAATGTTTTGGGTAATTCAAGTAGAATAAAAAGATACAAAGGTAAAAAGAAATATGGAGCAACTTCATACTCCTTGGCATGGGGTAGCCATTTGTCAAAGGAACACACTATCTTGTTAAATTTCTAGGAAACCATGAAAATGCCAAGAAGAGTCGACTCAGGCTCGCACCATGACTTGCAACAAGCATCTGTCTACTGTTGGGCCCCAATAAAAGGCATGTCACAGGTCTTGAAAAATACTTCCATTTTCTATTCAGTCTATTGGAGACTTTTTCCAAAGAAACATATCTACTTTTCATTTTAATTGTTGTTTCATTTACCATAAGTTGATGAGAAAGTAACCTTGTTTGAAAATAAATTTACTTTGCAAATTGTAGCCAGTTAGAAAAAAAGCAAAGTTATAGCTGTGATGGGAACATTTTGAGTAACATCTCTGCAGTGAACCTTTTTCTGAATACTGGTTTCTGTTAATACTCTGATAGGCACTTGGTAAATGCAAGAGAAGAGAAACAATGGCAGCTGAACAGAAGTGGAATAGATGTGGCATTGACATTTTAACTCAAAATCTAGAGAATTCTTTAAGCAAAACTCCTGATTAAAAATTTTGCTGTTATATTCCAAAATGAGTAAAGGATGAAATGTTAAATACAAATTATTACAAGAAGACAAAGAAAAAGGCAGCAAGGGCAAGACTGAACTACGTTGGGAAAGCCAAAAGTTCAGGCCTGTATACTCTGAGGTCTGTTCAGGTTCACAGCTAGCATAGCACCTGGTGACTGTAGTGAGCATCAGTAGGATTGCGGAAGGAGTGAATGGGAGTGTGATTGAATGACTATTTTCTAGAAGTGAATTTGCAATGGTTAGGGAAAGAGGTAGGTTTTTGATCTGATTTATTCAGTTTGGCTCTCCATACTATCCACTTAATCAGATAATTGTGAATTTTCAACTTGTGCCATGCATGATTTGTATTTTCTAGTTTGCTTACACCCCTGGGGTCCTTGAAAATAACACATCTGGGGGATTTTTGCACACAAAACTTCGGAATCAGTGCAGATTTTTATTTTGAAGTAGATTAAGTACTGTCAAGTCCAGTCCCCATAGCTCTCAGTGCCAACCTTAAAAGATAGAGAAGATTCATTTATAGGTTATCCTGCCAGAGTTGTAATAAAGAAAACATGATTCCCAGAATTCTTTGCTTTGGGAACTCCCCATCTTTCATTCAGCATCTTGGAGCTTATACTTAGCTTGTTACCTCCCTGTTGTCTATTGCTTTTTCTTTCCTGATAAGCCAAAGTGACCATATCCCATAAAACTATAGCTGGTTTTAGTTCAATTTTGAGGGCGGTGAGGTATACTATTTCTTTCTATAATAAAAAACGTCTTTGTAGATGAAATTAAAATGCTTGAAAACATTCTGCATTAATGTGAAGTCTCAGGAACATTCTCAGGACCTGAAATACTCTAACAAAGTGGTTTTGGTGAGAATTTGTCCCAATTAGCTTCTGTCCCACATACATGCTTCATTTGCTTAATTTCCACCCCCTCAGTAATGTATAAGCTGAGTTACTCTACAAAGGTAAAATTGTTGTTGGAACAGAAGGAATGAGTCTCAATAGAGGAATACTACAGGACTCACCCTATCCCCTTCCTCCTGCTAGTTTTCCATTCATTAGCACTGGCACTATTTGGAGAAATCATTTGCCTTATTTGTCTGGCTCCACACAGAGTGACAAAAACAAGAAAGCAATGCTATATATATTTCAGGCAAGAGTTCCTAAATTATGTTCAAAGATAGTGATTGGCTTTTTTTCCCTACACCTTCATAGTAAATATTTCCCTGAACTATCACTGGGACAAGCAGAATGTCACATCATTTAATTTATAGAAAGGTATGCCCAGATTGGGTGTATCCTCTCTGTCAATTAATACTAGTATACTGGACACCCAGATCACTCCCCTACTCTTGCATCAAATAGGGACTGAAGTTGCCTCAGGAAAGTTCTAGCTCCTTGGAAGCCTGCTGTAGGTCTGGCTCAGGTTGTGTCTCAGGACTTCCAGCAAGGAATTTTGGTTTGGTTCCATGCCACATCAAAGATGTGAAATTATTTGAGTTCCTGTCAGTTGGGCTAGGGAAGGAGTCCTTGGGTTAGGGAAAGTCTCCTGGGAGGCTTAAGTGAAGGCTGATGCTCACATCACTCCAGACCTGATCCAAGTTCATGCCCTGTCTGCTTCAGCTATTATTTTGTCCTATGAATTGCTTTCTCTTATCATAGAAATAGTTATCCAAATATATCAAAATTCTAGAGTCATCTCATAGCTTGTAATCTGCAGGGTCAGATGTTTTCTTCCCCCAGTGTTTCCTTATTAGCATAATGAGATATTTTTGCCACTAAGAGACTTGATAGAGGGGGGAAGTTAAGGGCACTAAGGAAACAATGTGGAATTTAAAATGTGAGTTACTTGGTTCCCCTACAGGTTAAAGAATGTCTCACACAGATGCATAAATAAATAGATAATTACTTATAACTAATCTATGTGAAAAACAGAAAGAATATGTTTCTCAATGAACTATTATTTTAAAAATCCTGTAGGAAGAAAAATGCCTTTGTGGAAAAATCAGTATCTGGTCTGTATTAATGTATAACTGCTGTGACTTTGGCAAAATCACATTTGCAGAAGTGAGAAAGTATACGAGCCAAATACAAATCTACAAAAAGAAACAAAATTAAGAAGGCTGGTGGACCCCTTTGTTGTCCATGCTGTCTTCTTCTGCCTTCATTCTGAGTCAATTGGTTGATAGGCCTTCTCCTCTTGACTTCTAATTTTTCTTCATCTCGACTCCAAAGGCCCTTTTTCATTTAGAACTGCTTCTGTGGAACTGCATTCTTCCTCTGCAACCGTAACATTTGTATCTCCCAGCTATCAGCCACACTTCTGCTGGACAGCTCCCGGCTTTCCACACTTTTGATTTAATAATTAACTTTGTTTTTCCTCCTAAAGATGCCAATAGTTTAGAATTCCTCAAACCCTAGGCCTTCTACTATCTCCCACCCTAAATAATTCTTATAATTTGATTCCTGTCTTTCAATTTTCATAGAGCAGAGCGTTACTGGTCAAAGTCACAAAACTGGTCTGATCTGCCTGATTATGAAGTCACACAATTTACCTCTCCTATGCTAGAACCTCACTATTTCATGAATCAGATTTTTGCCTCCAGTCCTTCTAAAACTGTTCCCCAAGAGTCATCTGTAATTTTCAAATTGCCAAATTCAGAAAATTATCTTTTATTGGTCCTCATTATATGAAAATATAACCCTCATCATATTATATCCTGTTTGAATGCTTTGATAACTCATTTTCTACAGAATAAATTTCAGACAGTTTAGGCTGACATTCCAGGCCATCCTTTTATAATTTTATCCTCCAAGTTTCTCTCATATGTACACCTTTTCCCTGACAATTTGGATTATATCCTTCTTTCCTACAGCATACATTATAAAAATATGTTTCCATGTTAGTTCTTCTGATTCAAATTCTGTCTTTCCTATCTCTCTTAAGCCTTTAAGGATCAGTCAGATAATGTTTCTATTTGAAGCTTTCCCCAATTCTTTTTCCTAAACTTTTTAGTATTACTAGAAAATGGTTTTAAAATATGACTCTTAAAAGACTGAAAATATTATTCTAAAAAGACCACTTATAATACAATCTGATAGCTTCTTAGCCTTTTGGCTAAGATCAAGTGTAATGTGATCTGATTGTTTAAAGGACAGTCTCTTCAAATATCTCATGTAATATATAAAGTGTAATTTCTTTATATTTTCTTAGACAAAGCATTGAGCAGTTATTCACTCTCATTTCATATCTTTTCATGGGTTCTTGAAGTATTTCCACATAGTTGGGACCAAAAATTGGTTGGACAACTTGAGAAAGCATAAAAGTTGACATGAACATATTTCCAATATTTTATTTGAATTGAAAACACATAAATGTACCTTCATTTAATGACCTTTTGATAGAGGCAAAGGCCTCTTAAATATGCATGTATGCCTTCCAATTCATGTTCTGTGTCCACTGTTTGATTGAACCACACCCATAAAATGTAATCTTCAGTTTTCCATTTAACTTTCCCTAAAGTGGCTTAAAACTTTGCAAACAATCTAAGTTCCTTCTAGAGTTTTATACTCTCTTTTCTTAATCTTTTATAACCCATATCTGGTTTGGTAGAGATTTTTAAAAACTTGCTTTGATCGTGTTTTTCTAAGGCATTCATTTTAGTTACTCTAGAAACAACTCTTCTCTTTGGGCATTCGTATTTTATTGGCAGATGTAGTACTTACTTAAATAACATAATTATAATACAAGTATAAATGAGGTTAAGTGAATGTAATGGGATTTTGGTGAGCACAGAGCTCCTGCTGTGGGGGTGTAACTGCAAGACCATCGTGGGGTAGCCCACAGCCTAAGCTTTTGGCTTGGGAGGAGCCCCAGTCAGCATGACTACCCAGGGCATGAGGCACAAGGTCAATCTGAAGAGTTATTAAAGCAGACGGCTTCTAATATACTTAAAATTCATTCTTATTTTATGGCGTTGGTATATCAGCAGGGTAACAAAACAGAAATTGCTCAAAATTCAAACATAAGTGGCTTGAGACTTGAGCTAAAGCTTTGGTAAGCCTGGGATTTCATGTGAAGTCACAGAATATTTCAATCTCCTCCTCATTCCAAATGAAGATTAGATGATCAGGCACTGAGTCTCATGTCACTCAAAGTTTTATTGCTTTCATTCGCCCAGTGCCACAAAGCAGAGATAAAAGATGTCACCTGGGTGACATTCAAAGCATGAACCAAGAGACCAGGCATTGATTATTAGTTCTGGTGTGCCCATGGAAAGACAGGCACACATGTCTGCCTGCTGATGAGCCAGAAGCCTGATCCAGTACACAGATGAACTGAAAAGCATTCCATAAACCATGAAAGATAATCCAATACATAGATATTAAAATGGAAAGTTACCATGCATTAGGGTTAGGAGAGTAAATGAAACATGAAACAAGTTACTTCTGGGATGGGTGGGATGGGTAGTAATTAGAATTTGACAAGCAGTTCTTACATGAATAAGGAGTTGGTTGACTTGTTCTATTTAGTATACGATGTCCAAGGGTTCCTTCTTTAAGTGGGAATTAGCACCAGGATGGGTTTTGAATGGCCCTGTATCTTTGAATAGGTCTATCTTGGTTGAGCAGGACCTGTGGATGAGTGAGCACATTTACACACATGAGAATAACCTATGCTGTGGTTACCATCTGGATAGATAAATTGAAGTCTCCTTTTCTCCCTCTCTCACTCTATTTTCCCCTCCCTCCCTGCCTTTTTCTTTTCTTTTCTTTTTTTTTGAAAATATCTATGAAGACATTTTTCAGCTCCAAGAATTTCTGCTGTTACAGCAACATATGTGGGAGTATGTCATTTGAAGGCAAGGAGATTATGATGAAGTGGGCTGTGTTACACTAAAAGCTGAAGACATAGTGAAGAGCAGAAGAAATACGATTTTGAAGAAGACTGGATATTCTCAGTTGACAAATAGTAGCAATTTTTAGCGACCAATTATGGAATACCTAGTTGGATTTTTTTTTTGAAGCAGCAGGTTTTTTTCCCCTCCATTTCTTCTTCCCTTCTCACTACTCTTTATCCTCACAGAGAATAAGAACTTTGGATACAATTTTTCACTTTGTTTCCTGGTATTCATATGTTGATGGTTATGAAGGCCAGGCACATAATAAAAAGAATCAGTAAGACGTTTTAATTTTAGACACTTTTTTTGATTTATTTTAAATGATCAAGTCATATAAAAGGGTTGACAAAGCCAAATGGAACAATATGTTGAAAGGTAATATTGGAATGTAGCATGATAGAAAGAAAGTGCAATTTAGAAGCACCAAACCCAGGCTGCAGTTCTGACCCATCATTTAGTAGTAATATAACCTGAGGCAATATCAACTCATTTCTGCAACTTTCACTTTCCCCATCTGTGAGGTAATAAAAACAAGATCCTCCTTATAGAGCTGTGGTGAGAATTTATGAGAAAATATTTAAAAAAAATTATTTGGGAACTATGAACAGCTGTGCAAATATTAATTCCCCTCCATTATTATCCCATCTACTCTTTATACAGAAGCTGTCTTATCATTGTGTCAAAGAACAACTTTCTGACAGTATTAGCAGATTTCCATTCATTCTGAATATTTCAATTGGGTCCAGTGTATCTACCATTTACTGATAAAGTAGTTTCATTAATCTAGGCTGCTTTTCTAAAGTGATATGGCAAGTTGGAAGATTACTGAATTCAGTTAAATGTGGCGTATTTCATGTACGTAAGATCTATAAGACAGTGTCTTCAGGAATGATAATTCAGACCTCCAATATCTATAAATTTTGGGGAATTATTTTAGGCAGTAATATCTAAAATAAATTACTGACTCAACTCTTCATTTCACTTTTCAACAGTTGCAATTTTGGCTTTGGGGGCAGATATTTAGAATCTTCTATGGGCAGAGTCATGACAAGGGAAATGAAATTACAATGAATAATGAGAGGAGGAACCCAAGAAGCACCTCCAAGTTAGGGACCAACAGAGAAACCTAACATTAACCTGGAGATAATAAATGCATGTGGGTCAACATAAGTTTAATAATATTTTATTATGATAGTTTGAATAAGGCTGAGTAAGAAATACAAGGCAGTATTTGCAAACTGTCAAAAATGTTAAGCCTTCTTTGAGTGCTAGAAGGGAAATGCACTAGCCTCACTACTAATGTGTGTTCTACTTTGGGAGCTATAGGGAAGTAGTATAAAGGACTTTCTAGGCTTAAAGAATTAAAGAATGTGTGAATATAGCATTCTCATTCTTAGACGCCTTGGAAAATGAATGATCTTAGTTTGGTTTGAAAACTATAGAATAGAATATATTTTTAGCATAATAAATCTTTTCAATCCTTTCAAAAAACAGATCCATAGAAAGAGCAAACAGATGGAAGCCCATGTGCTGTTTTGTAACATGTCCAGGGTTTTAAAATTGGATAAACACTAAAACCCTGCAGCGGCAAATCTGTCTTTTCTTAAACAAAATCCTATGAGATTAGGGGAGCTGCTGTGATAAAATATGCACATTAAAAAAAATCCAGGTACCCCTGCCAACTTCTCTGCTAGGGCCATATGATGAATGGTCTCATAGCATGAACGTTAACCCATTTCTTATTAATGGAAATATGCGTAAGTACTTATGGGATGCTTATTACTATAACAACCCAAGCACTCAGGATATTAGACCAAATAGAGAATCATACTGAAATTCCATAAACACTAAGTTATTTTCCCTTAGGCGCTCAGCCCATTACTTAACAAGACACTATAACAATTTAAGGTCACTTACACAATTTGATTATTTTTTGATTATTAATATTTAAGCTTGGTCCTCATGAGAGAACCAGTTAGATATAAACTTGTAGGCCAGGTATGGTGGCCCATGCCTGTAATCCCAGCACTTTGGGAGGCTGAGATGGGCAGATCACTTGAGGTCAGGAGTTCGAGACCAACCTGGCCAACATGGTGAAACCCCAAATCTCTACTAAAAATACAAAAAATTAGCTGGGTGTGGTGGTGGGTACCTGTAATCTCAGCTACTCGGGAGGCTGAGGCAGGAGAATCATTTGAACCCTGAAGGCAGAGGTTGCAGTGAGCCATGATGGTGCCATTACACTCCAACCTGGGTGACAGAGTGAGACTCCATCTCAAAAGAAAAAAAAAAGAGAAAAAAGAAAGAAAGAAACTTGTTATTATTCAACCTTGTTCTCCCTTCATATATTTCACATTATCCCTTACATCAACCTTTTCTTTTTCTATATGATTGCAATTTGAAAGATATTTTGTTGTAGAAAGAACAATATTCACTGAAATTGAAGGCACAGAACAGAAAGGGAGCTCAGCTAAGAAAAAAATGAGGACTTTCTGAAGCTTGCACCTCCAATATTTGGTCTATGGCCTATTTAGAGAGTGGGCATTATTTGTTGAATGACTATGTAAATGAGTGAATAAAAGTTGGAGGTTAGGATCTGTTTACAACTCTTGGGTGCCAATGTAGCAATTAAAACATTTTTCTCATTTGTCCTTTATTGTTCAGTTTTTTAAATCATGGCTAAGGAAATGTTTTGGCTGGCATTTTTCACCATGGCAGAGCAGATTGGTTTAAAAAATCTCTCTGATATATTTCAAATGATAGATTTGGTTGCCCTTGCACATCAATGATTTATTTAATGGATTACTTGTGAGAAAAAAAATCTCAATGTCAGATTGACTTCCCAGCATACATCCAAGTTACTTCTCCCCTTTCTCTTCTTCTTCTGAGCAGCTGGAATACGCTCAGAGGATGAAAACTAATTTTACTAATAGCCAGCTTCCCCAACCCTCAACTATCATATGAAGGTCAATCTCTTTCTGCTAAGTCACACGATATATTCTAAAACGAAATAGAAATAATCTTGAATTATCTAATGTTGTAGATAATCAAGCCAGAACCCTCTTCAATACACTGGCCAGTCAAAAGGTGGTCATAATAGCAAAGAAATGTTTACTGCTGTTTGATCCTCTCCCTGTAGCATTCAAATTAAAATAAATATGGCAGAGAACTAAGAAGCAAAAGCAACACAAAGATGCTATGTAGCTATTACTGCCACTTACATTTAGCCATCATAAATGGCATAGAAATTGTGCAAAGACAACAGGAAGCAACATATTTGGAAGTTATACCTGAGAGTGCTTTGGATTTTAGTTCTTTGTGTTCAAAATTACTGAGGAGTGAAGAAATTAATTCCTTTCAAAATATGGATTTTCTTCTGCAATATCGTGTCCCAA